AAAATCTATAAAATCTCCGATTCTCACATGAAAAAATGATCTGCAGTGTTCACATCTTTTTGCAAAGCGCAATAATAAATTTCTTTCTCAAGTTAAACAAGGAGATTAAAACAATCGCTGATTTTTTTCTAAATATGATTGATTCAACTAATTAACTTTTTAACATATTAACTAAATTTAGACATAATGGTAAATTTTTTAAGCTATAACACCTTTATCACAATTGGGAACAATATACATAATATAAGTTATAAAATACACATTTAACAATGTAGCAAAAATCCACTATGGATTAGATAAAGGTTTGATTATCATATAAATTATTCAACTTATAGTCGCTTAAAAGTAAATTTCGATACAAGAAAGGTGGCAGGACCAATAGTAAAAATTTTACAAGCCTTTTTTATATCGAGAGTTACTAGTAACCTTTTCTTATGTCAAGTGAATATACTATAAGCGGATTTTCTTATATCGAATTTTAATTAATCTTTTCTATATATATCGAGAGTCACTTGTATATTTAATTTTGTTTTTATAATTTTCATTTTTAAAGAATTTATATAATATATAAAATGCATTTAAAAACCTTATACATTCTTTGTTTACTAGTGTTTAGTAAATTTATAATAAGGAATTCCCTAGCATTTATTCCATCTTCAGATGTTGGAATTTCTACTGTTCTAATGAATTCCACAATATATTATATTGCGGGTTCTTCTAATCAAATGGTTTATTTAGATGTGAGGTATTTAAAAATTTTTTTTTAATATTGTTTGTCAAATGTGACTTGAACTATTAATAATTCATTCCTTGAAAAATAATTAGTAATCACTTTAAAACAAGTGATTCGTCGTTGCCCTGGGTAAATCTTACACAATTGTCGCAGATACTTCCACCAAGTTCTTTTTCTACGGCAACCCTTGTTGAGGATAAGATTTTTCTAATCGGGGGTTTATATGGAAATGACAATTTTAACAAGTCCAATCTTATATTTTATGTTTTTGACACGAAGAAACAAATTTGGAATCAAACCTTAACGATAAATCCACCAGCAAATAAAATATCTGCTACTTCAATTTATAACCCTAAAACGGGAAAGATTTATATTTTTGGTGGAAGGTTTAATAGCAGTACTATAAGTACAACTATAGATGCAATTTCTTCGAATTATCCGCTCGATATGAATATATTAGACCCTATTAACTATCAATGGTCTAAAGGAAGTTCATTTAATGGACCATCCGGGCGTGATGATCAAGCAGTCGTATTATTACCATCCGGATTAATACTTTATATTGGTGGTAGAAGCCCGAATAATGGAGGATATGTTAATCCAAGCATGAAAGAGGTTATTATATTAAATTTATACTGTTATATAGTAGCAGTGTGAATAATCTTAATAACTTTTTTTTAAAAAAAATAGCTTTATGCTTATGACACAAATATTGACACCTGGACAACAAAAGTAAGTATTTTTTTAAAAAAAAATAAAAATAAAAATAAGAGACAAATATATTTAATTTTTATTTGTTATCCAGATAACAACAGGTTACAATCCATCTCCTCGTGGGAGTGCTCAAGCTGTAATAAGTAATTATTGACATGTATTATTGTTTTTTTTTTCATTATGTAAAAGTTATTATTAAAAGAAACCAAATTTTTAAATTCGTATTATTTAGCTGATGATGGCCGGGTTATAGTTTATGGTGGAGTAAGTGGCGGGGCTTCAAATCTATTGGGTTTACCAGTAAATGACGCTCTCATTGTATTAGACACAAAAGATTTCAGTTGGACACAACCATCTGTATCTACAACTCCACCGCCATTAAGTAGATATCAAACCGTAACATTAGTAGGATATTATTTGATTGTAGCATTTGGTCAAATAATGTCTGGAGAAACTGGGATTTCAACTAGTAATATATATATTTTAGACGCAAGAAACAAGTCTGATTATAAATGGATTACAGATTTTGATCCTAAAGAAGCAAGAACTTCTTTACAAATCAATGCAACCAATACATTTGCTCCTCAGACTAATACATCTGCTGGTAATTCCGATAATTCAGGAAAAACAAATATTGGTTTAATTGTTGGAATTGTAATGGGGACGGCTGTGATAATTGCGATTGGAAGTGCAATATTATGGTATCGTTATTTTAGATCAAAAAAAGTTTTACTTATCTCTGGTGCTAATGTAGATAAGATATAATTTTTTGTAAAATTTTTTTATAAAAAAACTAAGATTTTTGATGAATTTTTGGTTTTAAAAAATTAAGATTAAATTTGGATGGTTTGCTATAGCATATAACGATAAAATCTATATTTATTTAAATTATTTAACATTTGTTAAAAACAACTTCATAAAAAAAATGAGAGGAATAAAGTTTTTGAAACATTCCTTATAACAATAGTTTTTGAGACATATGACAATGCAATGTTTCAAAACTTTGATTTTTTTGTAACGGAGGCTTCTACCATTAAAAAAAAAACTTATGAAATAAATATAAATTTATTATTAGAATTTGAGTATTTTTTGAATTATGAAAGTTATTCTTGATATTACATCAAGTTAATTGTAACATAAAAAAAATTTTAAATTTTAGTTTCTTAATACTTGTTACCTATATTCTAAATATTACAAGTCACTCTCGTTATAGTGAAGTCTTCTACTAAGAAGAAAAATTTTCTCTATAGCTTATGTTGAGAGAATATTATACCTATGAGGCGTTGTTACATATCAAAAGGGTCAATTTTGCATGTAAAAAAATTTTGAGTAAATCGAATTGAAATGAACTATAAATATCGTGTATCTGTTCGCATCATTTCTCAATTATGTACGTGGATTATTATTTGAAATTCGGATGATAGTAAAGACGATATATAAGATAGTATTAATGAACTTTATTTTGTTTATTAAATAAATGAAATTGTAATTTTGTGAACGTAATGTTTATAAGGAATTTTTTTAAAAAAAAAAGAATTTAATTTTTTTAGTTATATTGAAAATCGACCTAAGCTATTCTTCAATCGGTGAAATTAAAAGAATGACGCGTGTCAATTAATAATCGAAAAAATTGGTGATTGACACAAAGCATATCAACGTTGATATTACCGATATATGTTAAAAGGATCACTTTTATAAAAAAAATAGATTTTTAATATCTAAAGAAATAAACATTTATTAGTTTTTTTTTTACTTAAATATTTTGATTGTTAATAATTTTATTTATTTATATAATCACTCATACTAGGAGGAACCACCCTATCTTCTATTTCTTTATTATCTTCACTATCACCAATAACACCCCAAAATTTACTTGGTTCAGATCCCATCTGTAGTTCCAATACAGCACCTCCATAAATGTCTTTATGCCTAAACCAGGTTTTTTTCCATTCTTTGTTATTTATTTTAACATTTTGAACATATATATTGATGTCCGTTAAATTATGAGCTATAATCGTAAATGTTTTTAATGGTGATGTTGAAAGGTATATGATAACCTTATCGAAACATGGTGAGTTTATTAGATAGATATCAGTTCCTCCTCTATAGTTATAACAATAAATTGGTTAGTATTATTGTATTTTTATAAGTCTAATATTTTCTATTTTACGGTAATAAAACAATATTACATACAATGGAAATATTCCAATGGCGTTAAAAGCATACCAACTTCCCATCGCTCCAGAATCATCGTTTCCTGTCAAATGAAAAAAAAATTTCATATCATTTTATAAATATAGCTTCTATTCAAAACAAATGTAATAATAATATTTAACTCAAATTTATTTAATATCATTCTTTTCATTTGAGTGCCGTCAAGGGAAAACCTGTCATCGAGAGTTTCAAGTTTATTGTTTACCGGACTCAATCAATTTTATTTGCTAGAGATTTTATCTGGCACAGTATATAATTGAAAGCTCGATAAAGGCTTCCCTTGATGGCACTGGTTTTAATTTTACAAACCTGGAATCCCATCCTGCCCAATTCCAAATTTAGTTTTCATGATAGTTCTAACCACGTCCACGCTTTTATATTGTTTTCCAATAAAATGATATAAACACGTATGAAAAAAACTAGGTTCATTTCCTATATTATAATAGCCTCCTAAAAATGATTTATCAGCAAATGTTTTGTCAAGTCGATCTTCAAAACGTTCTGGGCCTCCTGACAACTGTATTAGCCTTTTCACATCTTATTTATTAATAAAAATAACCAAAGTAAGTTATAATTCAAAAATTATAAATAAAAAATTTTAATTACATACCAAAAGGTACATCCAAACTATATTCCCATGAGGTGCCTTCATAAAATGAATAAATATCCTTTACCAAATTATCACCGGCTGCCCATTTTGTATCGAATGAGCCGTTTATAAATCTTGGCATTATGAATCCTTCCACTCCTTTTTATCATTAATTATCAAAGTATAAGAATCAAATTTAAATTTATTTTGTAGAAACTTTGAAGAAAGTATAAAATATTTAAATTTTCACCATTATAAGTTATATTTGAGCACCAAAGATTTTCCCAACTAGTTGCACGATTTTTATATTTTATATAGTCATCATTTTTGCCCAATCCTTTTAAATTTAATAGATGAAGTATAAAGTATTCAATTCAAATCAATATATTCAAATCAATATATTAAATCAAAAAATAATTAAACTTAAGATACCTTTAGCAACAAGACTAATGCTATAATCATTAGCGCTATATTCTAAAGTTCTACTACATGGAGAGTTAATGTATCCAAGATCGCGATCATAAGGGGAAGGAATATAACCATATTTTTTATAATCGGTTAAGTGTAATCGACCTTGGAACAAGCCTTGTTCCCATGGATCTATTTCGGCATCTTTAAGCAAGGCTTCGTATGCTATGTTCCAATCAATTTTACCATTTATATCTATTTTTTTTAAGTATGTCTCGGCCTATGATTAATGATAATAGAATGAATTGATTAAAAAAAAAATCACATAAATTTTAATGAGATTATGTCTGTACTTACAATAACCATATCAGCATTAGATCCACCTTGCGTAATTCCATTCCATGAACCACTTCTTCCATCAGGCATATAACCTACATTCTCATAAATGTCAATTAATGATCTAGCAATATCTACAGCACGTTGTGACTGAAAAAGTGTAAATAAAGGGTTTGTTGTCCTATATATTAAATTGTATTTATTTATTAGTTTTATGTTTATTCTAGGTAAATAATTTTAATAATAAGTAATTTAAAATTACCTGAAAGTATCCCACTATTGATTATTTGAAAAATTAGCAATCTTCTATAATTTTTCAAGGCAGGCAAAAAAAAAAATGAAACAAGTATACCAAAGTATAAAAATCTTCATAATATGGTACAAGATTACTATTCTTATCAATTGACTTCCACATTGGATTTTCACCGGTTCTACGTATATGATAAATTAGATTATAATTATTTTCCAATAATGTTTATGTTAATGATAATTAACAAACCTGTTACTTGGAATTAACATAGTTCGATATAAACCACTATAAAATATCTTTGTAAGGTTTTTATCACCTCCTTCAACCCTAATTTTTCCTAATTCATTATCCCAAGAATCAACAGCTTTTTGTTTTACAATATCAAAATCCCAATCAGGTATCTCGCTTTTAGCATTATCACATGCTTGATCGGCCGAAATAAATGAAATTCCAACTTTAGAAATAATTATAGGATTTTTGATAGTATCAAAAGTTAGAATTGCACCAATTTTAACACCGGAAGTTCCAACACAAGATGTCGTATTTTTATCTATTCTGTTATTCCACCACGTTGCCTGCTCAGTAGCATTGACATTAAATTTAGAACAGAAATAAACTCTGTAAGGACCATTACTATTCCAACCACCTCTGTATTGACCTACTCCTTTTATTTGATTAAGGGAGAGAGAGATTATTGCACCTTCTTCAAAAGTGGCACTAACATCATGAGAAAAGTTAATAAATATAAGAAAATTAAATCAATAAGGCATTTAAATACTGCAAATAGCTACATGTATCCCCAACCGAAAGAAAGAATATGAGATAAATCAAGGATAACTTTTGAATTATTTTCAGTCGAGGGGAAGGTATAACGATGAAGACCAACTCTATGACTTGCAGTTAATTCAACCGTGATATTGTAACGTTTTAATCCAAATTTTGAGTAACCAACTTCGAAATGTTCAAAAGATCTTTCTGAGAAGTAATCATTTATACTAAATTTATTTTCTGGTAAATCCACCACCGGGAATTGACTTATCACACCATATTTTGGTTCACCTAATTATTCAGATGATAACGGTCAATAGGTTTTACATAACTTGATAATATGATTAGAATATTGTCAATTTATTACCTCCCGTTCCACTAACATGTAGGTCTAAATTAAAATATTTTCGATGTATAAGTATTAACCAAACATGCTAAGTAATTTATTTATCAAATATTTACGTGATATTCCAGTAATATGTCCATCAACTTTATACCTGCAAATTATATTTATTGTTCATAATTTAAGAGAAATACATAGAGAAAGTTCATCTAATTGCTTTTAAACTTTTTCACTGATTTCGGAGAGTAATGCTGAAATGTAAACTTATTTTTTATATGAAATTATAAAATATTTTTGGGGGGTTTTTTTTACTGTATTTTCGCGGAATAACGCCCATGAGCGTTATTTCGAATTTTGGCCCGGATTAGGCTTAATTTAGGCCAGAATTAAGCTTAATATAGGTCAAAATTCGAAATTATACCCTGCACGTTATTCCGCGAAAATACGGTAGCTTTTTTTTAATGGTTGGGTTTATAATTAAAGAGTATATGTGGATTTTAGAAGGATTTATATTTTAAATAAAAGCCCAAATGTCAGCATTATTTCCGACATTAATTATACAGTTTTTAAGTGGTCTTTTTAAAAAAATGTAACGAGGCATGTTAAAGGTTTTATCAAATTACAAGTAGAAATGTTGGTGAAATTTATTTTTACTAATTCGTCAATTCAACGTCAATTCCATCAATAATGATAAAATTGGCTCGTCTAATTTCACCAGCATCTTTAGCTATAAGACTCCATTATATTTTTTTACAGTGGAGCCATATAACTTTAATAAACTTTTATATACCTCTTTATCTATTATCTTATATATATACAGTATATATAAATATATAAAATAGTAGCTTTAAACTGTATAATTAAATTCAATCAGTGCAGCTTCTTCCTATGAGATAAATATTCATTCTTACCCTGCGTTAGAATTTAGACCTTCCACGTCGAATCCTACTTTAACAACTCCAAAAGGAAGACAGGGGCCGGGGAATACATGTCCGTCTATTATGATTAAAATAATTCGTTGATTGAAATTTGATTAAATAAATAAAATTTTAAAACCAATGCTAACCTTTAGCGGTTCCAATAAGAGGATCAACGAACCCAGTAACATTTGCACGGTCATAATTTTCGATTTGTTCTTAAATAATATAATTTCAGATAAAATTTCGTACTCTTGAGATAATAAAAATATAAAATAATTCTAAAGAAATTTAGATTTACCATCTAAACTATCTATATTAATTCTCCATGATGGTTCTCTGCCAGCAGGAATATGGTATATTATTACTAGGAACAGAATTGATATGAAAAATGAAAGAATAAAAACTTTTATCCCCTTATCCATAATTTTTTTTTTTTTAAAGAACGAACGTTGTAAATCAAATGAAAACAATATTTAGAATATTTATTATAAATTTCGTGTTACTTTGAATACAAGGAACGACCTCAAACACAAATTGCTAAATCTGTGCTCGATTATCATACATACCTTACGTGTAAGTGCACGTCTACTTTTAGCAAAAAAATAACCGGTAATTTTGTTTTCCATATTTGATATAGGTCAATGCCTGATCAATGACCTTCACAAACACTTGACATATTGAGTAGATCATACCAAATTTAGTTGAAATGTTGTTTGGAGGGGGTATTGAATTAACCAATAAACAAAATTGAAGATCAAAGATTACCATTACTCGGCACTTACATGCCAATTTGATCAATTTTTTTATTTTATTTTATTTTATTCAATTTGTTTAAAAAAATAAAAATAAAAATATTTGTTCGATTTGACCAGGTAAGTACTGTTCAAAGTTTATGCACCCTATAAAAAAAGTTGCAGCCAGATTTTTTTTAACTTTTAATGAATATTCTTCGACAACCAGCTATCCAAATTCAATCAGTTTTTTTTTTTTTTATAGGCGCCTGGACTTTGAACGAGGTCATATTCGATCAAAATTTTTTTATTTTAATTTTATATGCTCATAGATTAAAATAAAATAAAAAATTGATGAAATTCGACCAAGTAAGTGTTAAGCTATCTTCATTCAAAGTTTAAGTATCATTAAAAAAGAAGTTACAGTCAACTTTTTTTAACTTTTAATGAATATTTTTCGAAACTAGCTATTCAAAATTCTTTTTATTTTAATTCTACGAACCCACAGAATTAAAATAAAAGTTTTCATCAAATTTGAATAGTTTGTTATCGAGAAATCTTATTTTAATCGTTTTTAAAACTTTTCATTATGATTTCTTGATAACACTAAACCAATTTCAAACCATTTTTTCATTTTATTCTATAAAATTATAGAATTAAAATAAAAAACTTCATTCAAGCAGTTTTGAAAAATCATCGCTAGATAAAAAAAGCGTCCGAGGATCTACAATTTTGTACGTATTACTGGCACAAATAAGTAAAGCCTCATTTAACCGACAATCATTTCATCAATACAATCAATCAATTCACCAAGTTTATTTCATTATGCATTTACATGTACAAGTTCTGTTTTATATTTAATATAGGTTGCAGAGTTACAACCAATTTTAATTGTCAGTAATATTATATGTATTTGCAAATTACAAGGCGTAACCACTAGTTAGGGGTTGAAACCAGTGTTGAAAATTCGTTGTGCATGTATTGTTTTTTGCACAAAAATTAACAATTACTGTGCAATTGCACAAAAAATAAAATAACATTCCTGTATAAAAAAATTTTCTTGCACAAAATGTTTGTGCCGAATTTTCAACACTGGTTAAACAGCTTAAAGTTTTCTTAATCTTGTTTAATTCAGCCGGCATTACATAATAATTTCTGAAACACCTGACAAAAATTAGACGAATGATTTTTCGACCAATTTGGTTAAGTATACAATTTCAGCATGATCGATATATATGTCATGCCTCAAACTAACGCTTGCCTCAGATGTTAATCGGCCTAAGTGGCTATGGGGTAGTTTCAAGAACAGTGAACCCAGTGATCATCCCATAACATGATAAATCATTCGGCCTAAGTTATGGTTAGTGTTAGGGTTAATGTTAGGGTTAGGTGTTTATTGCTTTATTGTTAGTTTATGCTGATTTTGTTAGTGCTAGTAAACAAATGACGTAATGGATGATCACTGTGTTCATCTTTCTTGAAGTGTCCCGTGGTTAAGTTTAAGGTGGCCGGATTTGTTTTCCAGTTATTTCTAAATAAGGGTTAAGTCTTAAGTCTTTGTATTCGCTTATCAGAAAGTTTATTGTTACAAGTGTAACTTGAAATTCATTTGTTTGTCGTATCTTTATTTGATAGGCTTTTCCGTTGTTATCGTATTTAAGATTATAATAGTAGTGTTTTTTCAGTTTGTTCAGTATAGTATCTGGTAGTTTGCAAGGTCGATTACTTTCGGGTATTTTTCCAAGATTGTTGCTACTTGGGTCCGATCAGTTTTTTCAAAGATAGAAAGATATTTGTATCCTTTTAAAAGGTGATCAAAATTATTTAGTTGTTTTTCTATTCGTTTTAATGGAGCTATTCTTTTTTGGACTTGTGTTTTCAATAATCTTCCTCTTCGAATTTGTTTTGCAGTGATCAATTTTTTATTTGCTAGAATATTTTCATATTCTTGAATGGTCAGAGGTGTTAGTTCTTTTTCATTTTCTGAGTCTACTTCGGCTAATACTTTTGTAAATACTTTTCTTGGGTTTATTATTCTGTTTTGGTGTGTGGTTTTTATTCGGTTTATGATTTCTAGCATAGGATAGTCTTCAATTCTTTTGAATATGTAATAGAGGTATTATTTTATTATTAATTCTATTAAATCTGCAAAAAATATTACTACTCTTTTTATTAAAGTTAAGTCATATTTAACTAATTTTCTTTATAACCAAGCTGTTCTTCTGGCCAAACAAGATTCCAATAAATTTATTTTAGAAATCTTCTATATATACTTTAATCTTTTTACTTACTTTTTTTGAAATAATTATACTATTCTATTTAAAGCATATACCTTTATTAAGAACATTATTACAATTTAAATACTCCTCTCTTGGTTCTTAATAAAATTCTTTAGCAATTATACATTTAACATAAACTGGAATTTAACTTTTAGAATACTTAACTTCTTAAAATACAATTCTTATAAATATACGTTTTATATCAAAATTCTGACAAACAATCTTCCAACAATGCAAAACCTTAATATTTGATACTTAAATCTATATATAACAAACAAATATTATAAATGCTTTTCAACAAAAAATACTCTTCACATACTTCTATATACTAAAAATACTGAAAATATTTAACAATTACTTATTAATATAACTAATAATATACTTCAATAGCTTCAAATTACATCTATACTACTTATTACACTTTTTAATCTTCTGTTATTATCTACTACTATCTTTACTAATATATAATATAATTCTCTTATTCCTACTATTCTTGGAATATACTTTAAAACAATATACCAAAATATTAAAGCTTTAACAAAAAAATATACTAAACCTCTTCTTACTAATCTTTCAACCAATTTTTTAAACTAGTTCTACTATAAAATATAGTTTTGACAAATTTTTTTTCAACATTAATAGGAAATAGTTTGCAATATTACACCCAAGGTTAAGTATAATAAATTATCTTTATTGCTATTTACTAATTAAACAAATATACAAAAACCCTATACTCAACTAATAGATCTATATCACACTATCAAAAAATAATATTTATAATACTTCTTCCTAACAACATACTTCTTATAATATTATAATTAATACCTTAGATTTTTTTTTTTACCTGTTCTAACTAGAATTATTTTATTTATTTAAATTAATAATAGTATTTAAATAGAAAATAGGAGATGTAATATCATATTGGGTGCTCTGTAGCACAAATAAAGTTAGAAATATTTTATTATAGAAATTTTTTCTAAAGCCAAACCTCTTTGTTTTTAGTTAGTTCTAAGTTGAAGAGTTTTATTAGCCTGATTAAATAACTTATCTGTCCCCTTGTCTAAGTCTTGCTTTAAATAAGAAAACTATTAATTTTTGAATTAATCTAGATTTATTATAATAAAGTTTTTACTATAATATTATATTAATAAAAAAAAGTTGTTGTTTTTTATAGTTTAGTATAACAATTATCAGGAAATTTTTTTTAATAAAAATTTGCAGAAATTTTTAAGTAAATTAAATATATAAAAATTTGCACAAATTTTATAACCT